AAAAAAAAAAAAAAAAAAAGAGAAAAATTTTGCATAAAAGTGAAGCTTTCTTTTATGTTCATTTCACATTCCACTTTTCATCACATATTTCATTCCAACCACCACTATTTCCATCTCATAGCTCAAAACAAATGCCTAAAAATGAAAATAAAAAATTGCATTCACATGCATTTTGCTTTGCACCTTCCATCTTACATTTCATTTCAAGCGTTACTATCTTTCGTTGTCTTATACTTCATAAAAATTGCATAAAAATAAAAAATCTTATCCATGTTCAACTCTCAGTACGTTTTCAATCTCATTTTTCATTACAACTCATATTCAACCTTACATCACATTTTCCACCCCATGTCAAATTGACATTCATCTCATGCTCATTTCATGTTTAGAATAAAATCAAAGTTGATCCTCATATTTTCTTGTTCTTCAATCAAGTCCTTCAAGTCATGATTTTCAAAAAAAATTGTCCAAACTCTCATTCAAAGTTCTCACCATCTTACATTTTTCTACAAGAAATTTATAAACGCATGTTTCAAACTTTGTAAAAAAAAAAAAAGAAAAAAAAATAGAGGTTCTTTATAGACAAATTCATGAAAAACCATCTTTTAGACATCAAAATAATTTGAGCACAGGATTTTGGAGCATCACATCATCCATTTTCTCCAAGTATTACACCATTCACTTTTTCTTCAAGCTTCATGGCATTTGCTTTCTTTTCAAAGGAATGATATTTCCTATGAATGCCAATTTAATGGGTTGCAATAGTGAATCATTAACTTCTCCTTTGGAACTTGCTTGGCATACTTAATGAAGAAAAATCCATGTTCTAGGGTAGAACTTCACAACTTCACACACATTACCACTTGTCAGCATATTTATATTCTTGCATCCTTTATCTATCATCCACATTTGTTTCTTCTCTTGCATTCCCAAAAGTCCATGTTTTAGGATACAACTTCACACACATTATCACTTTAGAGCATATTTATCTTCCTTCATCCTTTATCCATTGTTTGGCATCCATGTTTATTTCTTTTCTTGCATTCCCATAATCTTGTTTGATTCTCTGCCTTCAACAATTGAAATATGGATTCATACATAGTCAAGCGTGAATCTTTGTCAATCAAGACACTTTTGAAATATTCATCCGTGGAGAAAGCTTTGACCAACAAAGGATTCAAGAGATCTTCAACTGCAAGCATTTTCTCCATCGTGGACAATTGCCAAATCTAGGGGGCAAACTTAGAAGGACAAGAACCAAGAGCAGCCTCAAGGTCAAAAGCTTAAGCACATCACACTTCATGTTGCTCCAACAATCAAGGAAAAGAATGGAACTCCTCATTAAACAATTGTACTTTGAAAGATCTAGGAGTCAGATTTTACTAGAGACTTAAATGCTACCATGTTGATGTACTTAGTGTGATGTACTAAGATTTTACCTTGTAATGAATGACCATCTTTGTAATGCATGTTGAATTGCTTGTAACTGTCTTTTCTATAGCCCTTTGAGTCTAATGGAAATCTCAATGCATTCAAAGATATTTTGCTTCATCTAAGGCTCCTTGAGGATTGGAAATCAACAATGTGTGAATCCATATAGCAATTGTTGAAGCACCAAATCATGCAAACTTATGGGATGACTTCTAACATTTTTCTGACTTTGTTTATTTTTACTTTTTGTTTGTAGGTAGGTTTCATAAACTACTTCAAGAACCAAAAAAAATCAGGCATGACAGTCTCCCTATGTTTTCTCTCTCTTTGGAGCAATGCATCATCCATCTAGAAGGCAGCCTCAACATGCTTTTATAAGCTCACCAAGAAATGATGTTGAAGTGGACTTACACACGAGACATGTGGATCTAGATTCAATGAATAAAAGGGCAGATCTAGGACATGGGGAAACCTGAGTATTATTGCTCCTAGGGATGAACCCCTATTTGACATGATCATTACTTCTACCTTGGGGGCACTTTGGCCAATTGAACAGTCAAGCTTGTCTCTACTTCATTCATCCATGAATAGGATAAGTTAGTTTTCTAATAGCTCAGCTTGTGGCTACATGAAAGGAGGGAGTAACAAGCTCTTTTATATTCTTTGAAATATTTGCTATCATGCTCATTAGTTTTCCTAGTCTTTACAATTCAGTAACATATGTTGCCATGTTGTCATCTTTTAAACCTGATGCAACTCTTCTTGATGCCATTAATATGCTCAAAAAAAAAAACAAAAAACAAAAAATAATAATAAAAAAAACAAAAAAAAAAAAACAAAAAACTAGAAAAAATCATACTTGCATATATATGCTCTCTTTGTATGCTATTACTTATTCATGTTTCTTTTTGCTTTCAGGCTTTACTAATGATGAATTTGAATACAATGATGCCATTTTAGGATTGGTATATAGTTCAAATGATCCAAATCCATGTCAAGGAAGATGATGATGATCTTGATTCTTCCCATGAACTAATTGAAATGTTGCAAAATCAAAGGCCAAGTTGCAGTCAAAGTGATAGACTCATATAGGAAGAAAAAAAAAAAGAAAAAAAAAGAGAGGAGAGAATAAGGAAATCTTGCTAACTTAGGTTAAATGATTGTCATCATTTTGAGGTCTAAAGTGAAAAGCTCAAGGATCAAAGGCCATCTTTCATGAGCCTAATTTCCAAACACCTTACCCAAAAGAGCCATCCTTTCATCAACCAAGTTGAGCCTAAAAAGAAAAAGTGAGAGCCTCTTCTTTCATACCTATCCCAAAACCGAGGAATATAGTTACATGCCTAATTGGGGGCAAGATCATATTGCTAAAAGCCATGAAGAGAAATCTCAAAAGAGAAGCAAAGTTCAAAGAGAGCAAAAGCTCAACAAAAAAGAAAAGAGAAAAGAAAAAGAAGAAAAAAGAGAAATGACAATGCAAATGTCACATGGAAAGGGTTGAAATGGAAAGCTCCTAGACAAGGCATGTAACTTAGGGGGCATGTTGGGAAATTTTGAGCCTTTAATTCCCATTCTTTTCACAAAACCTTAACCAAACCCCATTACAACCCAAGGAAAAGTCCTTTTTGAGGGTTTCAAAGCTTTAGATATCAAAATGATGGCAATAATTAGATTAAGGATAGCAAATCATTATCAAATTCAAGAGCTAATAGATTCAATAAGAGTGGCCATGTCTGTTTTTCCTGAACACTTTACATTGTCCTTAGTCACCCCTTTTGAGCTAGAAAAAGGCAATCATCCAAATTCAAAAAAGCCAAGATGATTTTCTTCTTATTAACCCATATTAATGACCGAGGTTGTGAAGAGAGAAATGTGAGGGGAATATATGAAGAAATTGATTTTGAGCCTTTATCCTTTCTTTCATAATAACCTAACCCCAAGCCATATTACAAGCCTATATAAAGTCCTTATTTGAGGGTTTGAAAATTTCTTTATCAAGGAACGTTCGCCAAAAAAAAAAAAAAAGAAGAAGATCCTTTCTCTAGCGAGTCCAAGTTAGTTAGCTCGATGGTTAATGATCGGTCTTCTAAACATTGAAGGTTAGTTCATGGGAAGGAGATAGATTGGATTTGTCTACCTTGGCATGGAAGTAGACATTATCCCATATGTTAAAGACTGGATTGGTGGAGTTACAAAGAAATAAATTCTTGAAGCAAATACTTTATAGCCTGAACGCCTTCTAGCTTTGTTAAGATTGTTACATCAAAAGTTGTGCAATTCAAAAATCATGTTTATCTTTTTCTATCCATACATATTATGATGGGAATCAAGACGACAGCATATCTACCACGTCATGTGATCCATTACACACCCAAGGAGGTCCAGTCACGCGAGCTAGAGCTAAGAAGATGTGTGAAGCTTTAAATGGCCTTATTGAGCAGATCTAGGTTGAAAACAACATACAACAAGCAAATCGAAGCTTGGATGATTATCAAGGCATGATAAACATCATTCAGGTTCAAGAGAAGCTTAATTGAGGTCTTTTATGCTAAATTACACAGTTTGCGTCAAACTCGCAATTCTGTCGCAATTTGTAACAAACTAATATTTCATGTTGCTTTAGGCTACTTTTAGTGATTTTCACATTTTTTATATTATTTTGGGCTAAACATTCATTTATTTAAGGCCCAATTCGTGGTTATTATGATTAGGGCTTAGGGCTTAGGGTGTTAGTTTCCTATTCTGATTAGAATTACTTTTCCCTATTTAAAGGGGCTTGTAACCCTAATTGAAGGAGGCTATTGAATCTGAGATTTTGAGAGACTTTTCTCTTTGGTTCGTTTCAAAACTTTATAGAACTTATCAAGATTATTCTTGTGGCATTCTAACCTGACTTATCATTCTCGTTCTTAATCGCTCGAGGGTGTGGCGTCAACCAACTTTATACCTCTGGTTCTTGTTGCGTCATAGACAACGAGTCAAGGTTTTTACTTTTGGTTCTTGTTGCGACATAAACAATGGGTCAAGGTCCTATTATAAACCTGATTTAGCTTTCCTGGAGTTTAGAAGTCCCTTGTTGTGCTGTGGGTCTCATTGTTCTCTTTGGGGTTCTCATCATATTATCCATGCCCTAGCCTTTTTTTCCTTATTTAGATTGGGATGCTGATTGGTTATGATGCTTCATTTCAGTTAATATAATTGTTGAAATCTCTTGACAAATCAAAAAAAAAAAAAAACCCCTTGATTCAATGGTTATGGTGCTTATCCTCTTTTGCAATGATTCAAGAATTTTCCCCAATGAACTAGAGATGCTCTTAAGTCACTGAACTTTATGCAAAGCATGTCATTGAGCCTATTGATAAATGTGCAACATGAAGAACACTGCACTCTCGCCAAATATGGGTATCCAATATTTTCAGGGAAGTTGCTTAATCTCTCTTCATTCTACCTTATCTTGCATATGTTTCATGGCTCGGATCTCTCAATCATTACTTTCATCTAGCTTTTTGGCTGCATTTTAATCTCATTAGGCACCCCATACTCTACTCCTTTCGGTCATTCAACCATACTCATACTTTGTTGTTCTGGTCATTCGACCATACTCATACTCTACTTTTTCGGTCATTCGACCATACTCATACTCTATTGTTCCGATCATTCGACCATACTGATACTTTACTTTTTCGGTCATTCGACCGTTGTGGTTATATAACCATCTCAATTCAACTTGCTCGGTCGTTTGACTGTTGCAACCCAACTTGTTCAGTCGTTCGACCGTTGCTATCCCATTCATTCGGTTAATCCGATCATTGCAGCTTTTTAGTCATTTTATCTCATTCGTTTGGTTAATTCGATTGTTTCGGTTTTCTAACCGTCTTCTCTCATTCATTTGGTCAATTCGATCGTTGTGGCTTTTTAGTCGTTTTATCTCATTCGTTCGGTTAATCCAATTGTTGCGGTTTTCTAACCTTATTCTCTTATTCGTTCAGTCAATCCAATCGTTGCGGCTTTTTAGTCGTTTTATCTCATTCTTTTAGTTAATTCGATTGTTGCGGTTCTTTAACCATTTTATCTCATTCATTCGGTTAATCCGATCATTGCGGCTTTTTAGTCGTTTTATCTCATTCGTACAGTTAATCCGATCGTTGCGGTTTTTTAACCGTCTTCTCTCATTCATTCAGTCAACCCCATCGTTGTGGCTTTTTAGTTGTTTTCTCTCATTCGTTTGGTTAATCCGATTGTTGCGGTTTTTTAACCGTCTTCTCTCATTCATTCGGTCAATCCGATGGTTGCGGCTTTTTAGTCGTTTTATCTCATTTGTTTGGTTAATCTAATCATTGCGGTTTTTTAACCATCTTCTCTCATTCGTTCAGTTAATCCGATCGTTACAGTTTTCTAACAGTCTTCTCTTATTTGTTCGATTAATCCGATCGTTGCGGCTTTTTGGTCATTTTCTCCCATTCGTTCGGTTAATCTGATCATTGCGACTGTTTAGTCGTTTTATCTCATTCGTTCAGTTAATCCGATCGTTGTGGTTTTCTAATCGTCTTTTCTCATTCGTTCAGTTAATCCAATCATTATGGTTTTCTAACCGTTTTCTCTTATTCGTTCGGTTAATCCGATCGTTGCGACTTTTTGGTCGTTTTCTCTCATTCGTTCGGTTAATCCAATCATTGTGACTGTTTAGTCATTTTATCTCATTCATTTGGTTAATCCAATCGTTACGATTTTCTAACCGTCTTCTCTCATTCGTTCTCTTTTTGTTAATCTGATCATTGTGGTTACTTAACCATTTTTTTTGCTTTAGTTGTTTGGTCAATCGACCAATTTTACTTTATCTATTTAGTTGGAAAATAAAAATTTGAGTTATTCTTGTCTTTTCTTTTCATTCTTGACAAAAAGAAAAGAAAAGAAAAGAGAAGAAAAGAGGGACAACTGTCATAACTCAAAATTTAGCATAATTTTATTTTATTTTTATTTTTATTTTAACTAATATATTTTGTCTTTGTTTTACTTGTTAGGTTGAAAAAAAAAATAGGGGGAAAAAAGGAAATTTTACGAAGAAGATTGGAAAAAGAAGATGAAGGAAATTAAGACAAGGGACTCAATTGAAGAAATCAAAAGTTGGAGGGGTGAAGTTCATTAACACTAAACCAAAACCCAAACTCAAGCCCAATTACCAAAAAAAAAAAAACCCAAAAACCCAAAAACCCATTTAACCCAAACCAAAAACGAAAAAAAAAGGGAAATAAACGAAAAAAAAAAAGAAACAAAAGGGGATCTGGAATTTTCTTCTTCATCATCAACCTCCAATCAGCCACCCCCTCTACACTGAACCAACGCCCTTGCCCCTGCACCCTAGCCTCGCACCAGCCTAGCGCACCGCGCCCTGCACCCAGCCTTGCTCTGCACCAGATCCCCTGCCTTTCTGCGCCCGAATCGCCTGCACTCTGCTTCAACCATCACTGGCAATCATGCCCCTGCATGCCCGAGCCATCATGCCCCCCCTACGCCCCTCTGCTGCACGAGATCCCCTGCCCTTGCTGCCCGGCCTTGCTTCCTGCACCAGCCTTGCTCTGCGCCCCAATCCCATGCCCCTGCCTTCTGCACGCTACAGCCATACAGAAAAAAACAAAATAACAAAATTGGCATCATTGGTGATTGACAAAACAAGCCCTCTTTTTTATTTCATTTTTATTTTTATCATTTTAGGTGTATATATAGAGCAAAAGCAGAGTAGAGGGGGTTCGGTGGTTAGAGAGTTTTTGGAGTTTGATTTAGGGGGGTCTTTAGGTTGATGGTGGAATTTTGAGTTTGATTTTGGTGGAGTTTTGAGTTTGATTTTGGTCGATTTTGGCTGTTTGATTTTGAGGGGATTGATTTTTCTTTCTTGGTTGATTCTGGGGCTCTTTGGTTTTGAGTTTTGGTGTTGACAGCAAAGAAAAGAGAGGGATTTCGGCTAGAAGGAAAGCAGCAGCTTGAGAGGAGATCGTTAAGCTCTTAAAGAAGTGACTGTTTTTGGAAGCTGCGTTTCTGTATTTGTCTTTGCTTTAGGTATTTTCTTCAACAGAGGAGTCCTTTTTGGGGAGGCACTGAGGGGAATGATCTGGGCTTGATCCCGTGGGTGGGATCCCCCACATCGGACTCCGGTCTGTTACCCAGAAAGCTCCGCCGTGTTTGTTTCTTTTATCCTCCTGTTTTTGTTATCTGCTTTCATGATGTCAAGTTTGTATATGTTTACCTTAAAATGAATGAGAATCTATGTTTAACTAAGTTATTTTGTTTTGATGAATTTGCTCTTTCTTTGCTATTGGCGAATGTGATTTTCTCATGACAAATGTGTTCTTTCTTTTTCTTTTAAGAGTGATGAACTTTAATTGCAGGTTTCCTTTGCCATGTTTGATCTGTTTTGGTTTATTTTGAGCAGTGGGCAGTGTTTCTGGATTGGATCAAACCCGACCCAATCTAAAAAAAACTAAAAAAAGTTAAAAAGTAAAAAA